AGGCCAGTGCCAAGTCCACCACATGGGGCAATACCCCCAAATCCGACATGGAATAAAGAAAATGCCATCTTATTTGTCAGTGTTAGTGATGTAATATTTCATGTCTGAACTTCTTATTAAGGATGCTTCAGGTTTGTACTGAATGTGCAATTTTCTGAATTGACGTTGACAATTTCATTAATAATAATATAACATTTATAATTATGCAATGAATACTCTTTAATTTATGTAATTCTTTCATTATTCATTTAGATTATGAATTCATGTCTGACAAATGCTCACATTTTTCTAGATCCTTGAGGTGTTGCATCTTGCTTTGTTAGAGTGAACATTTTTTAGTTGGAATTTAGGAGTCTTTTCATCATAAATGGGATCAGAATTTTTCAGTGAAGCAATAATGTAATGTTAAATCAGTTGCTGCTTTCAACAAGCAGAAAGAAGTGTGATTTAGGAGTTTTATTTACCCGTTTATATAATCAATTGGGCCTACTACAATTTACATAATTTATTCTTCTTACACATGGATTTTTTTTTTTTGCAAAGTTGTTTACTTTGTGTGGTGTTTTATTTTTAGCCTTGCATTGCACCGTCGGTGCCAGAGGTTTCCCTTATATTCAACAGCGGCTCGTCAGTAAATACCGGAACTTCAGCAACTGCTGCACGTGGTTTACATCATGAGACCAGTGCAACAGAAAGGAGGAATGTGAAGTCTGTAAGCAATGCCGGATACCATGAAGTTTTGAAGTATGGAACCTACCCATCTTCTCACCATGAAGGAAATAAATTGCCCCACTGTTCAAGTCATAAACCTGATGAGATTTTAGGAGCAGTCAAGTTAGATAATATTAATTGCCCAAGTACAGCTGTGCTCAGAGATAATAGGAATGTAGAAAGTGAAGTGATTACAAATTCTAAGAGAACATTTTTGCCAAGAACATTTTCAAATAGGTGCAATTCCTTTGATAAGAACATTGATGGTACACAGCAGAATTACTGTGCTCATGATAGTTCTGTAACTAACAGAAAACCTGACAGACTTGCATACCAACAAAATGGATCCCAAAACAGCCATGAAAGTAAAAAATCCATGTCTTTAAAAAACAACCAAAATAATGATGGTGACAGAAGTGTATGGAATGAGAACAATGGTTACAGAAACTTTTATGGCTCTGCATACCATTCCAAGCCTGGAGTGGAGAAATGTAGAATGGAAAAAAGTTATTATAAAAGATATCAGAAGAAGAATTATCCACAAAGAAAATTTCCTTCGGACACAGAGAATGAAGGAAGAAGTAGTTTGTGTTGCCACAAAGAAGCATCCTCGCCTCTGAATTATGCTCATCAGCAAATGACTTGTGTTAGTCCTGACCCATCATGCATTCCTGAAGAAAGAACTGCAGTTGATTATTTGAGATCCAGACAAGATTCTGTGGCAAATGATCAGACATCTGTTGTTATCCCTCTATCGCCCAGCACTTTGTTCTCCCGTGAACAAGAAAAAGACAGAGACACCAAAACATCATCTGATCCAGTTTTTAGGCACAAAAATGACTTCAATTCACTTTTTCTTGCCGACCAACCTACAAATCGTAATTTAGAAACTAGAATTGATGCCACAAACCATATTCAATCTGTGAACTTCAGGGATACTTCAGAGGGCGTTGATACTTTTAAGGTACAGTCGGCAAATATGAAGGAGGCAGGAAGTCATGATGATAGTTCTATGTTTGATTTATACAATCTTGTTCGTTCACAAAATGAGCAATTAAAACACTTACAGACCCAAGTTGACAGACTGTTGCTAATGAGAGATAGAAATAGCACCATGTCCACTACTGCTTGTTGCTGCCCACCATTTACTTGTGCTGGCATCCAGTCAGCAAAGCAGAACATCACAGTGGTCAATGCATCAACACAGACAATGGTTACTGATAGTCGGTGTGACATTGCTGTGAACACGGACTCTAGGCCAGTAGTTTCAGTTGCAGTTATGACATCGTTCGCTGACACTGCTGACTCAAAACAGTCGCAAAAGATGGAGAGGATGACAAGACTGAGGTTAGACAACAGATGAGTTTACATTCATGAGTACCATATTTATAAAAATTCCATGCACACATTTCTTCTAAAATATTTGCATAAAAGACCAGATGCATATTGTATTTGAGGATTTAAATTTCATAACATGGAATTAATAAACGAGGGAATATACAGTATGCAGCTGTATACTTGGTAACATCATTTTCCCAAGCCACTGTAGGCGATGTAAAAAATTTGATCTTCAGAAACCTTTTAGCCTTGTAGCAGGAATTAAGGAGTAAAGATGTCTTCTTACTGGTTGTCAGTCTGTGCCTGTTATTTTATTTCTTCATCCACAACAGGTTTTTGGTGCTATTAGGGTCAGCCATAATTGTTTTGTCTGCATTAGTTTACTTGGCATCTGAATTCTGCTTGTTACTTCTTCTTCTATGCCTCTCTGGTCCATATTCAGTCCATGGCCTCCTCAATTCTCCTCTTCCATTCGGTCCTCTGTTAGGTCCGTCTGTCCGAGGCTTTGATCGAGGTTTCGAAACATCTTCCTTTTTACGGTGCAAGGTTGTTAGCCTTGCGACCAACCCCCAACCTGGAGGACCAGGGTACCTGTCTTAGTTTGACCTCTCCCCCTCGACCAATCTGGCTAGGGAGGCCCTACCAGTAGCTATGCTACCGCCAGCATAGCTCTTGGGATCACTGAGGTAATCAAGCCCCACCACCACGACAAGGTGCAGGTACCATTAAGTGGGGGGCTTGTTACAGATCAGTTTATGAAGTAAGATGGCAAAGCAGGATTTACAGGTTGTTGGCATTTGATGTGCACTGCTCGTACCGTGTGTATTGTGGAGAACTGCTATTTTGAACAGTGTTACTGAGGGGAGCATGTCTTACTAACCTCCCCTCTTGGTTTTCCTTCTGGAAGTTGCCAAAATTGCCAAAAGAAATGATAAAGACAAATATAGATGTTGGAAATTAATGAAATAAAAGAAGTGTGAAAGAAATTGAGGCATTTGTTAAAAGTAAAACAAAATGTGAATTGTGCCATGGCAAGAAAACTTCAAGTGAATGAAATTTCCATCTCAGAGTTGGGGACGCAGGGAGGGTGGGGTTGGGGGCGGAGTGGTGTTCACTAGTTGAATGTTTTTATTAATTTTTCATGTTATTGCTTTTTTATTACTTATAACATGTGTGTGGATTTCTACAGTTGGAATATCCACATTTATGTAATTTATCTTTTTTTCTTTGCTAATAGTATTAGTTTCATTCAATAATTTTGTCTTAAAATGCTATATAATATTTGGAGTGTGCATCTTATTCAGGGATGTGTGGTATTTGGATAAGTATGGTAATATCAGTACCAGTTAAGGAAAAGAGTGAAACATTTGTTATGTTTCATGACAAAACTGCCACCCCAGATTTTATACCACAGAAACTTCTGCACTTGATATTAGACGATTATATGACTTAGAAGTGTATGAAATATGATATTTGAGGTTTTTAATGCTTTTAAAATGTGGTTTGTCTGGGTAATGGTGCTAAGTAGTCTTAAAGGTGGTTATCAACTTTGAGGAATGTATTACCACTCTTTTTTTGGTAAATTCTGTCAAGATTGGGTGATAAATAATCTCAAAGCTATTATTATCCCTTCACCAAGTCATTTTTAATTCTATTAATAATTATAAAAATATGAAAGCATCAAATTGTCTCCTAGTCCAGATCTGAGGGATAAAAATGAGTTTTGTTTAATTATTTGAAGGTGGAAGTGTTGCGTTCTTCTAAAATGGTGGTAACCCAGCTTTAAGTGTACACATTGTCAGAACCGAGATGACCACAATTCACAGGATAGAAGATGATCAACTAGAAAAGATAAAAGGAAAAGATACTTAAACTATGATGTGTTATCATGTTATGCCTTCTTCAGTCTATTAGCAACCAATTAGTTGCCTACACCAGTTTATCTTTTGTCATCAGTTTTCCTGTACTCCCTGACTGGTAAATGAGCAGTAGGTTTTACGTCATCTAAGTACATTTCTTTTTACTCTTTTGTTTTATGTCATCATTTACACTCTTGCCTTCAAGGAACAGAGAGCAACTCGCTCCCTGAGGTTCTTCAGGGTTTTCTTTACCTGAGTAGGTTCTATTTGTTAATATAGATGTCGGTGTGCATTATTTTTGACACTGAATATTCTAGAGAGTTGCATATGTAGCTGATGCTGGTTCATGGTGCTATATTGGAGTTGATTATAATGCTTAACAGTAGACTTGTATTGCCACAGACTTTGGCAGTTGGTGGTTAATGGTGCTGGTTATTTACCAGGAGATTTCCTTTGAAATTAAATAGGGAATTTATGTTCTGAGGCTTGCATGGATGCAGTGCAAGGGGTGACAGTATGTAGAAGGGTGTTTTATTGGGGTTTGACCATATGCCGATAAAGCATTATTTTATGAATTGAGAAACAAAGAGATTCTGATAAGTATGCCTAATGGTACATGGCACCATTTGTTGTGAACGAATTATTGTGACATTCCAGTACTGATTGCCTGTGTTGTCCAGAACGTGCTCCAGAAAACAGTGATGAGACAGTATGTTTCAACAGCATTGATCTGCCTGCAGTTCAAGAACACGCCCCTAGCCCCATGTCATCCATACATGTTGACATGCATGACTATGAGGATGATGATGATGATGATGATGGTGATGCTGCTACTGAAATGTAAGTACGTGGGTTATGGTCTTATGGGTTGTGATGCTATGTGGTCTTTATTTTGGATCGAGAAAAATGAAAATGTGTAAATTCATCTGCAAGAAACTGCTGATATTCTTCGCCAGCGCTCATATGTTATGGTTCTTGTTATTTATTGTACATAACCTCTTTAATAAGTCAGCATTAAAATACTTTCAGAATAATGGACCACAAAGTATGAACTAAACAACAGTGAAATTACAAGAAAACCTTTGTGGGGGACAGGCCACGTGAATTCGGAACAGGAATCTGACATTGAAGACTGTCTCTGATATGTTGGACTTCTGTTCCAAATTGAGAAGAGTTTATTGGATTTAGTTGCTGCAGAGGTTTGAAGTCTTATAACACAGTGGGATACGTTTCAGGTTTTTGCAGTAATTTAAATCTTTCTAGGCGAGTGGGCCAGTGGCACTTGTCTCTGGGATTTATTCCGTTAGCTGTTGTCTGATGATGCTTTATAGAGTTTAACAGGTTTATTTACCTCTGTTTCTTATTGCTGTGTGTTAAGTTATTCATACGAACATTCCATAAATTCTAGTCAGAATCTTGTTTCTCATAAATGGAAAAAAATACATAACAATATAGGCTTTATTCGGATATATGTGAAATAAAAGTAAATTTAGTGGACGTACTCTGCTCATAATGTTGACATGCTTTTGCAGCGCTCAGCCGTTTCCATGCAGCAAGGAAGGTCACATCCAGCAGAAGAAAAATGAAGAAGTGAACAGAATAGGATGGACCTTCTACAATAATGTTGTTGTAAGTGATTTAAATCTTGAAAGAGGATTCTGTTTCTTTTACTTATTAAATTTGTAAATACGTAATGTATTCAGCCATACTTCATTGTTATTAGCGGTCTTCACATTTGAACTACAAAGTTCAAATCTCAGGCAGGAGACCATGCATTCAATTTCTTCATCAGTCCCTCCACCCAAATTCTGTGATTGGCTCTCAAAATTGGTCATTTGCACATCCTTTCATTGGAAGCTTCCGAGTTAGGCTGCTTGGTGCAGAACCCTACTTACAGTATTAAACGAAATCTTGTAGGTTACATGTGCGTGAATGTAATATGTAGATTATATAGTCATTCACACAACATGATTCCAATTCAGTGTTTGTAATGTTTTGAAATGTGAAAGTGTTTGCAGTCGTAGCCTTTTGGTTACTGTAAAGAAAAAAGTGCTGCAGTTGAGGAGGTAGTCGTGGGTGCAGAGAGTGATGAAGGATGGCAGGGGGCAGTACAGAGAAAGCTTGTGAAATGCAGCACTTTCTGCTATGATCCTACCTCTCTTCAGAGGAAATATTGAAACACGAAGACAGTAACATTTAACCAGGCTTGTAAATAAACATTTAACATGATGTACTGAGATTTCAGGTTCCCATGGTATTGAATATGAAGATAGCTGCCTTCTGGGTTGTTGTGCCATGTATTCTGGTAGAAGTTTACTGGCATTTCGCAGGTGCTAATTGCCTCCATGATGGAGGCAGTAGGCACCTGTGAAACATCAGTAAATCTTTACCAGACTGAATAGTGCAACGTCCCAGTAGACAGTTATCTTCAAGCATTGAATGTATGTGTTGTACTGTTCCTCATGTTTCATTAAGATTAAAATTAATAAATTATGCTTTGATAAGTATTTTGTGAAAAATATGTTTTAGTATTTACATGTTGAAATAACATAAAAGTTCTCTGTAATAATCTCGGTTTCAATGATGAAGAAATCCCTAATAGTTGCTTTTTAAGAGTTACGTGGTTGATTTTCAGCATATATTTGCATTTTGTGTGTTAGAATGGGGAAGAGATGGACAATGGTGGCAGAGGTGGGACATTATAGTAACTAACTGGAGAAACAGTTGCAAAAAGTGCATAAAATGGGGTAAATTAATTATATATACAATAAATACCCTAAGGTGAATTGAATGCCTTAGAAGTGTATTTGTGTTTGTAATACAGCATCAAGAAAATTATCAGTACTTTACTCAGCTGATGTTTTTATTTCAAACCAGCAGAGTGCCCACAATGTTGCTGCATTTATTATCAGTCTTTATTGCCATAAAGCTGATAATAGTCTTGATCATTCAATATATATCGAATATTGAACCATATCACTCCTTATCTCCATAACTCTTTTAGCAGTAGTGTGGATTGATTAATTTTTTTGACACTATATTATTCTAGGGCCAGGTGAATAAGTTATTGAAAGACTTGCCTCAAGATAGTGAAGAATGCAACAGATGTGATGCTGAGCAAGATAATCAGAAGTTATGTGAATGTCAAGAGGATGTAAAAAATGCTACAATGGACCAACTCAGAAAAATGGGCATTAGTTTTCACAATTCTTGTGGGAATGGTGCTCCTGCTG